AATATTTTTTTAGCTGTCATTTTTCAATTGCTGGTCTGGTCTCTCCAGTGCAAGTTGTGGTGCTGTATGACGTAAGGATTGGGTGGAGAGCTGCACAGAGAAGCCTGTTATTTGGAGCCGGGGCGAGAGGGCGGGACCCCAGGCCAAAATAGAGCCTGAAAACCACACGGCCACGCAGCCTCTTTCACTCTCACGCCGAATCAGACAACACCACAGCAAAAACAAACGAAAACAGGATGTCTTCAATCCAGAGAATCATCGGTCAGACAGGCGCTGCCGCTAAAATTAGGGTGAAGAAAATAAACTTTCCAAACATTGAAATGGCACCAAACCACTATCTGAGACAAGAAGTCACTGAGGAATCCTGTATGCTTTTGCAAACATATGGTCAGGAAAGTTTGTTAACATACACACAACCCCAGAAGTTTCTTTAGAAAAACATTTGAGATTCTTGCATTTAGCACAGTTGTTAATATTTTAATCCTCTCTCAAGTTAAAGCCTTCGAAGTTCTTCACACTCAAATATTGCAATGCTTTAATTATGTTGTCCTACAAAGATCTATAATGATTAAAGCTAAGGTACTTAACTTTTTTGTTTTGTAAATGTTACATTTTGTTTGTCTCAGCAGAAAGTGTCTTGTAAAAAGAAAAACATTGTAAACAAAGCAGAAACCACACCATGCAGTCTTCATCTAAGGAGAAATATATCATATGTATTTATTTATTTATTATAATTTTAATACTTGTCAGAAAGAGCTCTGTGAGTCAATAAGACTCACACTTGACACTTGGGTCGAGAGGCGATCGGCTGAGCAAGGGTGGTCTTCTCTTTTTCACTTTTTTTTGTGGTTTTAAAGTTAAGTAACCCAGTTTTAAAGGGACAGTAGGTAATAATTACTTTTGTCACCAGATAACGTATCACGCGGACATGATGTCCAAAACATTTATGTTTACAGTTTTCAAGCAGATTTTCTGATCGGAGACCAGAATGAAGCTCTCATTTGGGTTTCCAGTTTGTTAAGTGAAATGTGGCTGGTCTTGGCTCTACCTTTTATATATCATATTTAAAGCAAGTTAAAGCAGGTACCAAAAAAAAGAATAAATTATACAAAATACACAGAGTGTAAAAGACAGAAAAGAGAAAAAGAGGGGGCCACCCTCCCAGCCAATCAGCTCTCAGTCCAAAGCGTCAATTACTGACTCACTGGGCTCATTCTTACAAGTATGCAAAAGATAACATGCTTTCTAATAAAATGATGTGATCTGAGTTGTTCAGAATGAGAACTAGAACAGGGCTGACCAAATGTACAGTAATGTATATGAGACTACAGTTCACATCTGTGGCACAAGAAACCAATGGGATTCCTGATTTGTTCCAGTCGAAGGTAAAATAGCAATGTGAAGAAATGCAGCTGAAAAATTCAACCAACAAATGGAAATTGTATGATTGTGTGAACAGATGTCACAACGTGGAAAAATTTGTGAATAATGAAAATAAGGGATGTACAGTATATTATGGGATCGGAAGATTTAGGCTGCAAAAATGTTAGGGATGCACCGATACGATACTGGTATTGAGTCGATACCATAGGCTTGTACTTGTCCTCATACCATAGGACCCGATGCTGACAACCGATACCAACATTTTAAATTTACATTAGCGACAGCAGACAGTAACACCAGCAACTTGATCAAACATCTGAAAACTCACCACCACACGGAGTAATAACACCTTTGCTAGCACCAAAGCTTTTTATTTGTACTATTTGTATGAGTGGATTATTACATCCATCCATCCATCCATTTTCTTCCGCTTTATCCGTTGCCGGGTCGCGGGGGCAGCAGTCTAAGCAGAGACGCCCAGACTTCCCTATCCACACACACCTCCTCCAGCTCGTCCGGGGGGACCCCAAGACGTTCCCAGGCCAGCTGAGAGACATAGTCTCTCCAGCGTGTCCTGGGTCTTCCCCGGGGCCTCCTCCCGGTGGGACGTGCCCGGAACACCTCCCCAGGGAGGCGTCCAGGAGGCATCCTGAACAGATGCCCGAGCCACCTCAACTGGTTCCTCTCGACGTGGAGAAGCAGCGGCTCTACTCCGAGCTCCTCCCGTGTGACTGAGCTCCTCACCCTATCTCCAAGGGAGCGCCCAGCCACTCTGCGGAGGAAGCTCATTTCGACCGCTTGTATCCGCGATCTCGTTCTTTCGGTCATTACCCAAAGCTCATGACCATAGGTGAGGGAGGGAACGAAGATTGACCGGTAAATCGAGAGCTTCGCCTTTCGGCTCAGCTCCCTCTTTACCACAACGGTCCGATACAGAGACCGCATCACTGCGCACGCTGCACCGATCCGCCTGTCAATCTCACGCTCCATTCTTCCCTCACTCGTGAACAAGACCCCGAGATACTTGAACTCCTCCACTTGAGGAAGGACCTCTCCACCCACCTGGAGAGGGCAAGGCACCTTTTTCCGGTCGAGCACCATGGCCTCGGATTTGGAGGTGCTGATTCTCATCCCAGCCGCTTCGCACTCGGCTGCAAACCGTCCCAGTGCATGCTGCAGGTCCTGGTTCGTTGGAGCCAACAGGACGACATCATCCGCAAAAAGTAGAGATGAAATCCTGTGGTTCCCGAACCGGACCCCCTCCGGCCCCTGGCTGCGCCTAGAAATTCTGTCCATAAATACAGTGAACAGAACCGGTGACAAAGGGCAGCCTTGGCGGAGGCCAACATGCACCGGGAACAGGTCTGACTTACTGCCGGCAATGCGAAGACAGCTCTGGCTCCGGTCATACAGGGACCAGACGGCCCTCAGCAGAGGACCCCGGACCCCGTACTCCCGGAGGACCCCCCAAAGGACACCCCGGGGAACACGGTCGAACGCCTTCTCCAAATCCACAAAGCACATGTGGACAGGTTGGGCGAACTCCTATGAACCCTCGAGTATCCGATGGAGAGTATAGAGCTGGTCCAGTGTTCCGCGACCGGGACGAAAACCACACTGCTCCTCCTGAATCCGAGATTCGACCATCGGACGTAGCCTCCTCTCCAGTACCTTGGAGTAGACCTTACCGGGGAGGCTGAGGAGTGTGATCCCACGATAATTGGAACACACCCTCCGGTCCCCCTTCTTGTAGAGAGGGACCACCACCCCGGTCTGCCACTCCATTGGCACCGCCCCAGATCGTCACGCGATGTTGCAGAGACGTGTCAGCCAAGACAGTCCTACAACATCCAGAGACTTTAGATAGTCAGGACGGATCTCATCCACTCCCGGCGCCTTGCCACCATGGAGGCTGCCAACCACCTTGGTGACCTCGGCCAGGGAGATGGAAGTGTCCGCCCCAACATCCTCAGCCTCCTGAACGGAGGACGTGACGGGGGGATTGAGGAGAACCTCGAAGTATTCCTTCCACCGCCCGACAATATCCTCAGTCGAGGTCAGTAGCCCTCCACCCGCACCATACACGGTGTTGGCAAAGAACTGCTTCCCCCTCCTGAGGCGCCGGACGGTTTGCCAGAACCTCTTCGAGGCCGACCAATAGTCATGCTCCATGGACTCTCCGAACTCCTCCCAGTCCCGGGTTTTTGCCTCTGCAACAGCCCGGGCCGCGGCACGTTTGGCCTGCCGGTACTGGACAGCTGCCTCAGGAGTCCCACGAACCATCATTGCTCGATAGGACTCCTTCTTCAGCCTGACGGCATCCCTTACTGCCGGTGTCCACCACCGGGTTCGGGGATTGCCGCCGGGACCAGCACCAGAGACCTTGCGACCACAGCTACGAGCCGCCGCATTGGCGATAGAGGAAGAGAACATGGTCCACTCGGACTCGATGTCCCCCTCCTCCGCCGGGACCTGGGAGAAGCTCTCCCGGAGGTGTGAGTTGAAAGTCCGTCTGACAGGGGGCTCCGCGAGACGTTCCCAGCAAACCCTCACTATACGCTTGGGTCTGCCAGGTCTGACCGGCTTCTTGCCCTGCCAGCGGATCCAACTCACGACCAGGTGATGATCGGTTGACAGCTCCGCCCCTCTCTTTACCCGAGTGTCCGAGACACGCGGTCGAAGGTCAGATGATACGACAACAAAGTCGATCATCGACCTCCGGCCTAGGGTGTCCTGGTGCCACGTGCACTGGTGGACACCCTTGTGCTTGAACATGGTGTTCGTGATGGACAGGCCGTGACTGGCACAGAAGTCCAACAACTGAACACCGCTCGGGTTCAGATCAGGGGGGCCGCTCTTCCCGATCACCCCTCTCCAAGTGTCACTGGCATTTCCCACATGGGCGTTGAAGTCCCCCAGGAGAATAACGGAGTCCCCGGGCGGTGCACTGTCCAGTACCCCTCCCAAGGACTCCAAGAAGGCCGGGTACTCTGCACTACCGTTAGGCCCGTAGGCCGTCACAACAGTGAGAGACTTGTCCCCCACCCGGAGGCGGAGGGACGCGACCCTCTCATTCACCGGGGAGAACTCCAACACGTGGCGGCTGAGATGGGGGGCAATGAGTATGGCCACCCCAGCTCGCCGCCTCTCCCCGCGGGAAACTCCAGAAAAGTGGAGCGTCCAACCCCTCTCAAGGAGTTGGGTTCCAGAGTCCAAGCTGTGTGTGGAGGTGAGGCCGACTATCTCTAGTCGGTATCGCTCAACCTCCCCCACAAGCTCGGGCTCCTTCCCCCCCAGTGGGGGGGGAAGGATTATTACAGTGGCTCATATTGTTGACTGTTAAAACAATTACTAAATTATTAAATTGTTAAAGGCTTTTTTATTGTTGAAATGAGAAAACACATTTTAAATTTCAATTGTATAAGTTTTATGAATTCCCAGTGATAACAATGCAGTAATATTTACAGCCTCTGTGCAGTACTCTTATCGGTATTCGGTATCGGCAAGTACTCAAATGAAGGTACTTGGTTTTGGAAAAAAGTGGTATCGGTGCATCACTAAATAATGTATGAGGTGTGTACATACTTAATACTTAGTGCGCATCAATTTAAACTCACCACAAAAACTAGTTTCCCCACATTGGTCCAAGGGAAGTCGTACAGGAGCTTTCTCACGGAGCCAACGTTCTGGGAAAAATAAAGTTGTTATTTGATATACTTTTAAAGATAAAATGTATTGAAAGAGGTTATTGTTTTTTTCATGATATCATTAGTACCTGAAATATCTGGATCCCTCGTAAGGTCAGACCTAATGTCAGAGAGGCTTCCACTTCTTTTTTGTCCTGCAAAACACGATATAATAAAAAAAAAATAGTATTTCAAATAATAACAAAAAGGTAAAATTCACGTATATCAAAATAAAACTTTGTGACTTAATGCCTGTGTATTCTCGGGGTCACTATGTGCATTGGCATTCGCGCTGGACCCGTGTTTGATTACGCAACCACAGTTGTTCGTTTACTTCGACGTACCCCCAAGCATAGTTCTGAGGAGATTGTTGTAATCCCACACCCCAACCACATGATGGCGATCTCGCAGGAATTGCCTGGGACCCCGTTGGTGTCCCAGTATAAAGTTCCGCAAGCTACTTTCTCCTCTTTAAAACAAAAATAATGTCGAACCAAGCAGTTGGAAATCAATAAAAAAATTCTCCAAATCTCATTAAATCTGTATTCTAGGTGCAAGTTTATCAGACAGTTCTTTATTCACAGCCGTGATGCTGTGAATAAAGACACGGTTTGTGTTGTAAACAAGAAGCGTTGTTTTAATTATTATAGTTTTTATATATATTATTTATAGCAATAATACATTTTTTATTTATTATTGCTTATTATTAAAATGCATTTACTCACAAACAATAAGTGATAAATATCTGAGACCAAACATGAACTATTTAGAAGTGCAAGAGGAATGCAGCAAGCTAGGGACAAGTAAAAATTCAAACAAAGATGGGCACAAGAACAGTGCAAAAAAACTACTGTATAGTATAAAAAGCTTGTCCACAGCCACCTCGTATATCAAGCTCATGAGCCATGGGTCCAAACTGCTTTTCCTTCGACACCCTTCGAAGCATTGAAGCAATCGGAGTCCCTCATCCATGTTCTACCATAGCCATTCCATGCTTCCATCCAAAACGTAATCACACACAGGCCAATCACTCTGCTCTGTTCCAATTCAGGCGTTCTCTCTTTAGTGTACAGTCACGGGAGTTCTGGTATCGCAAAGTAATGCCTCGCCTCGGTATCCTGTTTCTGTTTTGTTTTTTGCATGCATATAAAAAGTTTACAGTCTCTGGTATAAAGCCACGTTGTTCAATTCAATTCAATTTATTCTTATATAGCCCTAAATAACAACAGAGTTGTTGTCTAGGAGGACTTAACAAAACCGTTGAATTCGCCAACACAGATCAGAGAATCAACAGTTCAACACAAGAAATGCAACAATAAAAACACATAGAGCCATTGGTCCATAAGGGGCAGATGAACAATGTCCATAAATAATGATGAATGTCCAAAAATGACAATGATGACAAAAGGTGCCACGTTCGCCACTGCATGAAATGCCATTGACTCCACCTTGTGCTTTCATATTCTACACATGTTTTTTACAGGTTCTAAACATGTTTTGTGTCTATGCTCCTAGCTGAGCGGGCACCACTGTGTCGAATGACACACACGCGAAAAGCAAGAAGGCGAGGGCGAGCCAGAGGAGGCAAACGAGCAAAGCGACAAAAGTGAAAAATAAACTTTATATCAATGTATACGATATGTCAAAATTCCTATCGAGTGAAAATAATATCTTGAGATATCGTAAATGTCAATATATTGCCCATCCCTAGTTTGTGTTTTTATGGAAGTAGAATGAAAAAAGTAGATGAATAAATAGCATAAATATTCTCCAGAGTGATTGAAGGCCACTGATCCTGACCTTGTAGAGCCGATAGTAGTGCACTGTCACGTCCTCCAGCTGAGCGCTCTCTTTGATGTACTTGAGATGAGCCTCGGAGGCGGTCAGAGCAAACTGGTCTTTGTGCATCAGGGGAATGTGGCGGAGGATGTAGTCCCGCCCACGCTTCTCTATCACCTACACACACACACACACAGACACTGGGTTAAATGGATATTATCGGTACGTCACACATTTTACACCTGAAGTTCCACCTAAAGCTGTGTTCACACCAGACAAAGTGGAGCGGCAGGTTTACAAGTCAATGGTGCTGTGTGGTAGGATGAAACGCTGGCACAATTTTGCGGCACAGTATGCTGGTTTCTGCGGGTTGGCAGGTCGGGAATAATAAACTTGGCCTGTGACGACCAATCAGAAATCAGCACAGTGGTACTGGGGTCACAAGTCGGTTCTTTTTTTTGCACTAGAGCACAAAGCAGAGATTTTACTCTGCAGTGTGCTCCTCATTCCAACTGTTCTGTAACTTGCGATGCAACACTGAAATTCCCCCTTGTGGGACGAACAAAGGATCCCCTAATCTTAGATCACATCTATCGTGACTGGATTAAACAATTTTTGCAATAATGTTTATGTGCATCGCATAGTTGTCTATATCTTTCAAGCTTAAAGCAGAGGTACCAAATCAAAACAAGCTTATTTAATATGATTAGAAGAGGTTATCTTTTACAGCCCTATTAGTCACTATTTGATGTTTTGGGCTGAGCTGAGAGCTGACTGGCTCAGTGAGCGTGGTGCTCTCTTTTGAACTTTTCTGTCTGAATAAGCAGATTAAAAGTTGTGAGCAAGCATTTTTGAGCGCTAAGGACTAACTACTGTACATGGATTTTATTACGTAGTAAATTTTTTGCGGTTTCAAAGTTAGGTGCTCTAGCTTTAAATATAATACAGTAGTATCTGCATTTCTCTGCTATGACATCACCTGTATTTGCACAGCTGATACAGTTTAGAGCAAAACAGGTGCAGAATCCGAGCTGGAGGGCAAAGTGAAGTCACCCAAGAACAGGAAGCACACGGTATGAGTGTGTTTAAACTGTGGAGGTTTAAGAGCAGAGAGAAAGAGACGCAGCTCATCTTCAAAAGCTTCCTGAGCTCCTGGTTTGAGAAGCTCGATAAGGATAATCACAGGAAGTGCAAGGGTGGGGCTGTCAGCAGGGATTACACTCTAAGTGTGTGTGTATATGTATGTGTAAGTGTATGTGTGTGTGCGCGTGTGTGTGCATGTATTTGTGTGTGTGTGTGTGCACACAGCGACCGGATGAAGACAGCATGTTGTGGTCTTTTTTGTTCACATTTTACTTTCACAAGTTTCTCTCTGTGGGAAAAGCGATATGTCCTATTGTTTAGAGGATTCCATTTTTAACATAACATGTTTTGGTCTCATTGAAGGCAGGCAGTTGTAAAGAACTTAATTTGGACATTGGCTTAGAACACAGAAATGGCAGGATTTCATAGAATGATGCTCTGTCCTCTGCCATTTTACATATGAGCTGAAATGTTACATTGAAGGTCCCTGCAGACTCCGCTAAGATCAAGTTAGCAATCAGGAAGTTTTTTTTCAAGATATTTAAGGAAAAATAACACTCAAACGTGCATGAATGGCTTTAATTACAATTGAGTGTGTAAATATTGTATCTGAACTCCATTTCAAACCAGTTTTTATATAATATTTCAATATTGCGATTGTGACCCTGTTATGACCGACTTTGTGCCATTTTCAGAGCCAAAAATAAAACGCCCCAATTTCACAATCCCACAACTCTCAGGCTGCTGTGAAGAGCAGAGGAAGCCAAGGACCGCCTGACAGACTCACTGCAGCTAAAGGCTTAAAATAAACTCCATTAAGTTAGAAAGACATTTTTAACTGAGCGTAACTGTCATGATTAGCACTACACAGCTGTTCCTCAGTTGTTTTTCAACCAGTTTGCTGTGGCACATTAGTGTGCCTTGAGATGTTGTTTGGTGTACCTTTGGGAGTGATCCAATATCACCTAAATTGGCAAAACAATTCAAAAAGAAAATAATTTTTAACAAGGCCAAAAATACTTTTCTCTATAAAACACTTACTTTCCATTATTCATAAAGGGCTGCAGTTTAATTTTTGTATCCGTTTCAGATGGTGGCGTGCCATGGGATTGTTTTCAATGAAAATTTGGTGCCACAGCTCAAAAAGGTTGGGGAACCCTGGTCTAGGCAACATTTAGTCATAATAAATGCATTATCAATGACAGCCAAGTACCCAGGGCCGGAGTGGGACAACATTTCAGGCCGGGAGCTTTTCATCCATTCAGGCCAAACAAGGTTCTAAATTTGGGTTTTTGTCATTGTATTTTGATGTTCTTTTAATAGTTTTAAGATTGACTGTCAAAACTTTTGTTTTCTTTATTTCTTTTTATATTGACTGTTTATATAATCTCGGACGTTTAAAGATTGTTGTACGTTGCTTAGCAACGTAACGTTTATGGAGTCTAGTGAGAATAAAGACACACACACACACACACACACACACACACACAATGAACTAAGTGTTCATTAGTGTATAACTATAACAAGCTAATCAATTATTGTTAAAAAAGTAGTAAGGTAAAATCACATCGTTACAGCTCATATAAAAGGAAAAATAACAACGTGTATGAACCATCAGTTGGAGAGACCACTCATTTCAACCGGGGAAGCTACACTGGGTGCACTGCTAGGCTGGGGAAGCTACACTGGGTGCACTGCTAGGCTGGGGAAGCTACACTGGGTGCACTGCTAGGCTGGCCTGGCTGTGTAGCCGACGTGTGACGTCACATTTGTTTAATTTTGCTCTGGCCCAATGACAGTAAAGCTTTGGCCAGTGTTGTGCCAGTTCACAGCTTTTCTGAACTAGTTCAAGTTCAGTTCATACATGCTCAAAGTGAACAGTTCACGTTCGAAGTTCTCAATTTTAATTCTGAACTAGTTCAAAGTTCAGTTCATTTTACTTTTTGCGAGATATTCAAATAAATATTTTTTTTCACTACGAGCTACAAATCACAATACGTGGTATATATATATATATATATATAATTATATATTATATCCTGTACACTGCACAGGATGTTTTGACTCCAATGCAGATTGACATGGGTTTCAATGGGAACTGAGTTGTCCCATCTCTGCTCATAAGTACAAACTGTAATGCGCTGCAGAACGTGTGTCTATACTTTATGTCAAATGTAAACGGCCCTGTGTCACTGACTTACCCCTGTGTTTTCATCACGGCACATGTGAGTCCAACAACCAATGAATAGCACTAGCATATAGCGCCGCACCGCAAGTACACTGAGTCGGGGTGCGTTCACAGACGGTGGAAACCGTAGGAATTTTTAGTTTTCAGCGGAAACAGTGCAGAGAATACAGGAGGGAGGAACTTTCTCTCGTTGCGTTTCAAAAGAGAAAACAGATTTCACTCAGTTTTAAATGGAAAACAAATTGTCTGCCGTTCATGACACATAATATGAACTAATTCATTATTAAAAAATGTGTTGCGTTCAGTTCAACGTTCACGAAAAAATGAGCGTGTTCAATGAACGCGTTCTTTTGAACTCGTTCACGCACAACACTGGCTTTGGCCTGGGCCTTGCTCATTGGACCAGGCCACCAGGCAGGGTAGGAGTTTGCAAAGACCGTGAGGATGAAATTAAATTTAAAGAAAGAAGAAAAAAAAAAAAAGAAAAAAAGACCGTGATGATAGGGCAGGCCCAGGCCACTTTGACACGCAGGCCACCGGGAGATCTCCCGATGCTCCCGATGGCCAGTCCGGGCCTGCAAGTACCTATATATTACAGTTGAAAAGGCTGGGGTATCCAAGTTTTATAATACATGTTTGTACATCGGAAAAAGTCTTTTGAAAGTGAAAATGAGTCACTATTTTTGGGCTGAGAGCTGATTTGAGTGGAGTGTGGGTGGTCTTTTCTTTTTCACTTATCTGTCAGAAAAAAACGTATCTAAAGAAAAATACATGAATGCGAAAACTAGCAATAAAATAGGACTGTGCGATAAAACGCTAACGATATATATCGCGATAGACACATGTTCGATATCAATAGAAAACGGTGTCGATAGAATGTTCGAAAGTTTAACTTCACTCTGTTAGAAAAAAACAGGAAGAAAACGCAGGAAGTAAAGCAGTGTCAGAAGCGCGCTGCATTATGGGGGATGTAGGCAGAGGCTTTTCGACCTATCACAGAACAGCAAAACTTTCTGGGAAATGCAAAAACAACAACCGCACAATGCGTAGCGTCCATGGATCTATAGATAGTTTGTCAATGCCATGTCAATGGTTATGCACGTTCGTGCGAGGCATAGCATGTGCGGCGAGGGAGAGGCAGTGGGTACAGAGACCTGATGCATTCAGCAAAAGCAAAAGATTAACTTTTTCCTCGGGAAGCACCTGCGGCTATTAGAGAGCTGCACGGAGCCGTCACAGGGATACAAGACACTCGAAAACCAGTACTAAACCAGGATTAAACCAGGACTAACAATGGGGGACACATATGCTTGTGAACATATTTCTCCAGCCTCATTCCCCTGTGACTGCAAACAAGGCTGCCAACGTGTGTTAGCCGACACAACAAATGTATTCATTTAGGTTTAAAAAAAACAAAATCAATATATATCGTTATCAACCGATATGAATTACTTATATTTTGAAATCATTTTCAGCCATATCGCCCAGCCCTACGATAAAACCAAACTGTTTAGAGATCGAGGAATTGTGAAATGGATTTTCTTACATAGTTCATTGTGGTTTAAAAGTTAGGTACCCAAGCTTAATGTAATATAATAATTTTGAACCTATAATCTGATATTCTGGTTCAAAACTGCAGCATGCACTCACCCATGGGGGGAAGTAGCCCTCGGGCTCAAAGTATTTCCCAAAGTGCTTGTTGCGTTTGAAGTTTCCCAGATCGGCCTGAAGAGCGAAGGCGGCTAGCAGGAAGTACGCCTCCTCTTTCTGGACGCACTGTGACGACAGCACCTGCTTCCTCAGGTGCCAGTAGTAATAGTATCGCGCCACACGGTCACTGAAGCACATCGGACAGGGTTTAAAAAGACTAGAAAGATGAAAGGTCAAACATGATGGATTATTTGCATTCATTTTTGCATTTTTTGCATGTCTTCTATGTTTAAGGCTTAAAAGGTTCTTCTTATAAGACAAAAGAGTAAAGAAGCTAGCACTGCTTAATTAATTACCTGACATGTTTTTGGCGGTAGACTTCCACCTTCATCAGAGGTGACACATGATGGTCTGACATGTCTCTCATCAGCTCTTGTTACCAGATGCGGCCAGTCTGACCAGCCCCCCATCGGGCTCCCTTGTCTCAGTTGGTCCGAGTGCCCCTCTTCTTGATCTTCCACCGCCTCTTGGTCAAGAGGTGATTGAAATCAAGAAGCTGTATTTTCTTCTTTTTAGATTCTTTACACTTTTGTCTTATTAGAGGAATCTAAGTCTATCGGATTGCATTCACAAGTGTGGAATATGAAGAGGCTGATGAGACATACAATTGTAAAGAGCAATTACCAAAGCTAATTTGGCAACCAACCACTCTCTCTTTGCAGCAAGGTCTTAGGTTCGAATTGGACCAGGGCCATTCTGGAGTTTGTATGTTCTCCTCGTGTCTGCGTAGTGTCTAATGGTCCAGTTTCCTCCTTCCTATTGTACTAATGTACTAATGTCCATCTCTGGTTCTGATCAAGCAGAGCATCAACATCTGGTGATGAGTCCCAGGATCTGTACTTAACTTAACTTTAGGTTTAAAATGCAGAAAACAGCTCTGTCTAAAACGTTATAGTTGAATTGCCATAGAGCAGGCAAGTTCATAAACAAAAGTTCACAGTGTCATCTAGCCAACTTCAGCTTACCCAATATATGCTATACCTTATTGTAAAGCTCTGGAATCCAGTCATTGGCTTAATTTGTACAGTACAGGCCAAAAGTTTGGACACACTTTCTCATTCAATTAATTTCCTTTCTTTTCATGACTATTGACTGTAAATTCACACCCATGCTGTGTAAGGGCTCTTTGGCCAATAAGGAGAGTGGTGGGGTGCTGGGTCACTGGACCTGAACCCAATGCAGATGGTTTGAGATGAGCTGGACCACAGAGTGAAGGCGAAAGGGCCAACAAGTGCTAAGCATCTCTGGGAACTCCTTCAAGACTGTTGGTAGACCGTTTAAGGTCACTACCTCTTGAAGCTCATCAAGAGAATGCCAAGAGTGTGTGAAGCAGTAATTAGAGCAAAAGGTGGCTACTTTGAACATATTTTCAGTTGTTTCATACATTTTTTAGTACGTACATAATTCTACATGAGTTAGTTTTGATGCCTTCAGTGTTATACAATTTTCATAATCATGATAATAAACAAAACTAATTGAATGAGAAGGTGTGTCCAAACTTTTGGTCTGTACTGTATATACTTAAATTTGTGTCACAAAATATGGCACTAATGTAGCAGTTTTACCAGCCACTGAACAATTTTTCCGAGCTAAAGTGACCCATCCAACCATTCATCCAATTTCTTCCGCTTCATCCGTTGCCGGGTCGTGGGGGCAGCAGTGAGCAGAGATGCCCAGACGGGGGGACCCCAAGGCGTTACGAGGTCAGCTGAGAGACATAGTCCCTCCAGCGTGTCCTGGGTCTTCCCCGGGGTCTCCTCCTGGTTGGACGTGCCCGGAACACCTCTGCAGGGAGGCGTCCCGAGCCACCTCAACTGGTTGAAGTGGAGAAGCAGCGGCTCTACTCCGAGCTCCTCCCGTGTGACTGAGCTCCTCACCCTATCTCTAAGGGAGCGCCCAGCCACTCTGCGGAGGAAGCTCATTTTGACCGCTTGTATCCGCAATCTCGTTCTTTCGGTCATTACCCAAAGCTCATGACCATAGGTGAGGGAGGGAACAAAGATTGACCGGTGCTTCAGGTGGGTGGAGTGGTCCTTCCTCAAGTGGAGGAGTTCAAGTATCTTGGGGTCTTGTTCACGAGTGACGGAAGGATGGAGTGTGAGATTGAGATTGACAGGGCTAAAGTGACCCTCTTAAAAATGTTTGTGGACACCCATGTCTATCCCTGAGTAATGAGTTTGAGAATTTAAACAAAAGGAGCAGGCAGATTATTTGGTGCTGATTTGTGCCTGAAGTTCATGGATGGAGCCAAAATATTGAAGTATTGAAGAAATTTTCCTGATTTTCTTGTATATATATATATATATATATATATAGACATATAGATAATATATATCTAATATATGATGAACTCAAACCTGATAAGTCGTCCATTCTCAACATAATACTGAGCTCTGAAGTGAATGATCATTGGAGGTCCAAACTGGTCAACGCCCTGCAAACATACCACAAATGCATTATACAATATGTTGTAGAGCAGAGTCTAAAGAGAGATTCCTTGGGAGACTTTAAAGTCGAGGTGCACGATAGCTTAAAAATCAAAATACCAATACCAATCACATTGACTATGTGACATAATTTTTTTTTATAAATCGTTAAATCTTTATTTATTCATTTTATTTTATTTTCACTTTAATACAATAAATTATCTTGTTTTTAGTGCTGCACATGTGTTTGTGCTTTAGGGGCGCAGGGCAAGGCCACCGACAATTTCGGGCCGTCTGCACATTTTGCGGCACAAATCACATGACGTGTGATTGGCTGATCATAATTAGTGACTCATCAATCAGAGCACCTCTACTTTACAGGCATCACATGTGACAAAACATGCCACAAAATATGCACATTTTCAAAGCCGTAAGCAGGGCTGAATACAAATCGACAAAATGTACCTTGCTGGCCTCCCTCTTCCACTCTTTGGGGCAGTATTTGGAGAGCTTCTGGTCCAGCTCCATATACACGTGTTCATTATCTGTGGAGGAGAAGTGGAACAACATTCATTTACTCATCATTGAAGTATGTGAGACAACTCATGTGATAAAGGTTCTCCTCCATAAAGACAGTACATGTAAATGTACATCAGAGAGCAGGAGGAGTGAGTGCTACAGGGTCCAAAACAGTAGTTAAAAATGTACATCCAGGAAGTCAACCAATCAGCCTCTACAGAGCTGAACAGTAAATTGGCTTAAATAAATCAACAAATTTGGAAGCCAAATTGTCACTTAGGTCCGAACCAGCCCTATACACCATATTGACTGGAACTAAATTGTATCGGTACATGAAAATACAGAATCTTTTTGAGTTTTTGACACTAAACTAAATTTAACAAACACCAGTGACCCTTACCTGAGCCTAGGAGATATTTTAAACAGGATAGATGGAGTAAACGTAGCCATAGACCGACAGATATGAATTGCAATCCCCTGACTGTTTCATTAATGGTCCCCAAAACACTGGCCTGTTCATGCCATTTAGCCCACCTCGTGATGTAGTCTTTATAGCGCTCATTTATCTATTCAGCAATATAAGCAAACCGTTGACAATACCTATCATAATTACAGGAGCTCTAAACATCCAAGTTTCCTTTACAATGTTTCACTTGTATAAAATATTTTCGAAAATGTGAATAAGCTTTCCGTTGTTCATTATAATGTGATTCCAGGGCGTACTACGCTGTGACTTTAGAAGACATATTTTGAAAGATCGCCCACACACCCTTTGGTGAAGAGCCACCACAGGTCCAAAGAACACGCCAACCTTTCCCACCTTTGTCCTGGGTTGCCACAGAGTTTCAACAGTATGAAAACAGCTGTAGGGTCAGTTTGATTACTTTTTGTCACCAGATTGTAAAGGTGTAACAAGACGATTTTGAAATTGGCAGCCAATTTTCCAAACCTGAGAGACCTCACACACGGAGATAAAAAAATCAAGGGTCAAACTACTTTAGTCGCACAGTGTGTGGCCACATGCAGCCACAAGGAAAAATCACGCAAACCGCACACATCACACGCAAACTGATTTCACTCCCAACCATTCCCAGGTCAGACGGGATATCTTGCAAAATCTCTCGAGATCAAGCGTGACTTTAGAGTAAACAATTGTGGCGGACGAAGAGGATGCAGTGGCGATAGTTTGCAGTTTGTTTTAAGCAGAGAAAAAGCAATATCAAAAGAAAAGGCAATGGTCAAACTCCAGACTTTGTGCGCCATGCCGCTGACTGTTATGAGGTTTTTTTCCCGGTGTTTCCTCGCCGCCTCGTCTTCTGATTGGCTTCACACCGCAGTCCACTGGCAACATGCTTGTCTGTCCCCGGGGGACACCATACACGAAGAGAAATTGGGCCAAAAAATCCAACATGATGGATATCCCCGATCTGAGATCGAAGTAGTCCCAGCAGTTATTTTGTTTAGAAAAGGTGACAGCGGCATTGTTGTGAACATAATTTGGCTACCATGTTGTTGTTACAGGTTATTACAACGCAAATTGCTGTTGGCTTTTGAATTTAAACAAAATATGGTACGGAACTACAGTTGTTTTGCAATTTTAAGTAAGTACGTAAGTAATGTTTATTTATATAACACATTTTACAGACCATGGTCACCCAAAGCCCTTTCCAATGTTCAGAGTTTAGATATTTTTCCACACAGTGATGACGGAATCGAGACGGCGAACACACTGGCGCATCAAACTAACACCATCCATTCACTCACATGTTTTTAGTGGTAGGGGAAACTGGAGCCACTGGAGGAAATGCACACAGACACGGGGAGAACATGCAAACTCCACACAGAAAGGCCTGGAGACCCAGGACCTTTTTGCTGTGAAGCACAGGTTCTAACCACTGCACCACCAATAGTGGTGCAACTGCATCTAACACATGAAAACAAGTTTGTGTTAACCTTCACAGAAGAGGGTAACTTTGAATACGAACTAAAGAGAACTTAAGATTAGCCTCTTCAGCCCATCCATCAATTTTATTCCCCTTTCTTCCATTTGTGGGTCGGGGGGTGGCAATCAGAGCTGCAACCAATTCACAGAGCACCAGCCCCTTTCTAATCCGCCGTCTCTGTCGTGACGTTACAGCCTTGATATTTTATGGGGGGCTTCAGGGGTTAAGTGTCTTGCCCAAAACACAACAACAGCAGACATCAGTGGGAGTCTGTGGCAACTGTCTCGTGGTGAGATCGAACCCATGACCTTCGGGCATTTGAGCCTGAAGGTCTGAGCCACTGAGGCACTGACCCTATAGAGATATCTCACGTGACGTCACGATGCCTCGAACTCGCGGGGCATCCGCCATACTGGAGGACAAGCAAACGCTGTATGATAGTGGCGTGCACCCGGGACCGCATTAACATGTTCAACATTTTTGCAGTTTTTGGCTGCAGCAAAAGGAAAGACAGGGAAAATAAGTTGTGTTACCGACTGCCAGCCGTCCTTACTTCACACGGCTCAAAAACAGAAGACATCTCAAAGAAACGAGAGAAATGGCACAACCATACGCAACAACAAAAAACTAATAGCTACCAGAGCGCCCGAATATGCTCGGATCATTTCATTTCTGCTAAGTGAAATCAATTTGATGGCGGATTTAGTGTTATTCCGAAACAAACAGAAGTTTAAGGATAAAACATATCTGTCTGACTGCAACGTGGGGTTGCTCCATAGACTGTAGCTTAGCTTGTAGCATAGCTGTTATATATTTGGTCTCACACAGGACCTCACCCGGTTCACAGGGTATCTGACTTACCGAAGGCCAGCAGACATGTGAACGACTGAGCCGTGCTCGAGGGTGCCCCGTACTAGTATTTATTAATAAAATATACGGCTCCTCACAGTAGACGCAGAAAGCTCCATTGATTTGAATGTAATCTCATTATTTCCACTGCAGTGTAGCCACACATAGATCCATGGTGTAACAATAAACACATTAAATGTTAATCGGAGAATACATTATACATATACATTCTTAATAGACGTGCACAGAGGTTTTCAGAATTTTCTGTTCACGTTTTCATGAAAAAACACTGTTTTAATGCGACAATATGCGACCGCGGTAAACCTGGATGTAACAATAAACATTAATAATACATTTTAGGATGCATTTTCAGAGGATCTGATTCATGAATTTAGGTTGAGTGTGAATACACTACAATTGGTACACCTGAGGTTCAGCTGCCGGTGAAGTTCCCACAGCGATAGCCCAAACTAAACCTCAAACAAACAATCAGAGCTTATGGAGTCAGCTACTTTTCCAGAACAGCGCACAATAGCTTTGTTCCCACACTGACAAAGAGTAAGTTGATCATTTGCTATTAGCTCTTCAAATCTCATTCTTTGGTGATTACGTTTGGTTTACAGTGCTGTGGTCCCTAGGTTGGTGTGGACTGGGTGGATGGGTGATAGTGGGGATTGTGGGTGGCCTCCGTTTGTCTTGGGGATTTCATGCGGGTCACAAAACACTCCAGGAATGTGACACGTTCAGCCGATGTGTCTCCTGTCACACTGAGCTCACAGACGCCATTGACCCCAGGCTGCGTCAAAGTATTTTTAAAACGACCCCACTCTGGATTTAAAGTACAAAAAGAGTCTACACGGTGAGAGAAAAAGATGCCAGTAGTGGGCCACCAGTATAACCACTTCCTTAACAACATCCTCCTCAGGCCACCCGAAAGCCGGAAAAGAATTCACCAACATCATTCTTCATTTAACAGAAGCAGCAAAAATGGAAACTGAAACTACAGCTTCGTACGGTTTCGTTTGGGTGGACGAACGAGTGGAATTGCTTCTCCGTGTAACTGCTGAAGCACACATAGCAGAAGTTGATCAGCCGCCATTGTTGTTTATGTTTGTTCTCAGCTACAGTGCATGTCCAAATGTATGGGGGGATTGATGAGGTCATCACAGCCAGTTTGCACCTTTTTATTCATAAAACTGCGATATGGCCCCCCCGCCGCACAGCACATTCAGTTTGTTCAATTCTGAAGGCCATTTTTCAAAGATTGCAATGCCTTGTGAACATAAGTACAATCTGATAGTAAACCTCTGTTCACAATGAGGGAAGGATGAAGAATTAGGTTGAAGGTACATTCCCATTGAGCAAAAGCACACTTCCTAACACACAAACCGATATGGGCTGGTGTGTCAGGACGACTCTGCATTTAACCAGCCATGTATCCTAGTCTTTTTCCCGAGGAGTGTTCAGTGTGAGCACTCCTACCAAGAAGGTTGTAAAACTACACACAAGTCACACATGGGCCAATTAATTGCATAATGACAGAATAAGCCATGTAACAAGAGCCCAAACCTTACTGGTAAGAGTACCAGTAAAGTTTGGGCTTTCCTTAGCAGAAACAAAGAACACAGATTTTTTTTTTTTTACTTTGCCGTATCTTTGTTTACCATTACCATAGGAACCTAGGATGCCTGTTGTGTAAGGCCGCCAAACTACTGTTGTAAACAAACACTCCCTCTAACTAGATTTCACTCACACATATGAAAGAAAACCAAGTGGATGCATAGAGACTTATTAACATCAATACAGATCAGTAAACTGCTGGAATTACATTCATTGTTGACAAGGAAACTAACAACTAAGGTGAGCAACATGCTCCTTATCTTGCTAAATTTTGGTATTTCATCTAGTTTATGACTCTTAAAGCATAAATGTCAATAGATTATATTTTGGGGCAGGCACTCTGAATGTAAAATTCCATGATTTTAGTGATCCCGCATATTTTAAATACATCCATTTTGATTATGTGTACCGTACAACATGAAGACATGTGGCTTGCATTCAACTGCATTCATGTACATCGTTTATCTTATTTTAAAATGTAAGCGGTACATGCTGCATATAAACAGCTGCTCGAGCAGTAAGGTATTCTTTCACTAATCTTTGTCTTATCTAAATCAACATGCTTTTACACTGACAAAAATAATTTCACTTTGTATATGCTAATGTTTTGGAAT